TTGTCAACCACATGTTTTTCATCAAAAATAACATGTATTGACTCTTCCGTGATCATGGTTCTTTTGTTGAAAACTCTGAATGCCTTGCTCATCATAGAGTATCCAAGGAAGATGGCTTCATCTGATTTTTCATCAAAAGTGTTCAGATGATTCTTCCCGTTGTTTAACACAAAGCACTTGCTCCCAAAAATATGGAAATATGATATATTAGGCTCTCTCCTGTTCCATAGTTCATAGGGAGTTTTGTTGTGCCTTTTATAAATCATACTCCTATTTTGAGTATAGCAGGCTGTGTTAACAGCTTCAGCCCAGAACCTCTTTGGTAAGGAAGCTTCTGCTAGCATGGTTCTCACTGCTTCCTTCAGGGTTCTGTTCCTTCTTTCAGCTACACCATTTTGTTGAGGTGTTCTTGCTGCGGATGTCTAGTGAAGAATTCCGTTTTCTTCACAGTAGTGAATGATGATTTCATTTAGGAATTCTGTGCCTTTTTCAGATCTGATCTTCTGAATGTTCTGACTTGCTTGGTTTTGAATCAGCTTCATGCAGTTGGTGAGTTTCCCTTGAGTCTCCTTCTTGCTGTTGAGGTAGATTGTCCACGTGTATCTTGAGTAATCATCAACTATCACCAGGACATATTTCTTTCCACTTAGACTTATTGGTGTAACAGGGCCAAATAAGTCCATGTGAATAAGACTTAATATCCTTGTAGTTGAGGGTGCCGATTTTGCCTTGAAGGTGGACTTGACTTGCTTTCCTTTTTGGCAAGCACCACAAATACTTTCCTTTCTGAATGCAGCTTTGGGAAGACCTTCTACTAACTCTTCTTTGGACAGCTTGTTGAGGGTTTTGAAGTTGAGATGACTCAACCTCTTATGCCAAAGCCATAGAAGGTTAGTGTCACCTTTGCTGATTAGACATGCTTCCTTGACATCACTCCATATTACTTCATAGATGTTTCTGATTCTCTTCCCAGTGAGAATGACTTCATTTGTGGAGATGTTCTTGAGAGATGCCATATTCTTGCAGAATTCCAAGGAGTAACCTTTATCACAAAACTGACTTATGCTAAGAAGGTTATAATTGAGTCCTTCAACATAAGATACAGCTTGGATGGTTAGTCCCTTGTACACCAGATTTCCTAGCCCTTTAGTGAGGCCGAAATCATTGCTTCCTCCAAAAGTAACTCTTGGACCATCATAGGGAATTAGATTGCTCAAAAGGCTCGCATCACCCGTCATGTGTCTTGAATAGCCATTGTCTAAGTACCAGACACCTGGGTACTTAGCGGCTTCCTGCATTAGGAGGAGGAAGATTTTGGTACCCAATTAAGTTTGGGTCCGGAGTAGTTAATGGTGTGTGTCCTTACATCAAGTTTGAAGTTGCAGGGAATCTTCCTTGCAGCTCTAAACTTGTTGGGATTATAATCATAGTTGTACGCATAAAACTTCCTACGTGCAGGAGGTGTTATTTCCTGTTTCCTCCTAGCAAACCTAGGTTGATAAGACCTATAGTTTTGTCTAGGTTGTGCATAGTGTGTCCTGTGTCGGTTATAAGCATACTTAGGTGGCACAAATAGCTTCTGGGGTGGAGGGTGACTATATCTTGGCATAGTTCTCCACTCAGAATTTCTTGGAAAACTCCTTTCTACCCCATAATGAGTATATCCTCGTGTATAATGGGGGTTAGAAGGTTTTCTTCTGAAATTATTTCCTTTTTGAGGTCTGTCCAGCTTCCTATAGTTCTTAGGAGGGACTACCTTTTTGGGAACTTCTGTTGGTTTCTCCTTTTCCTTCCCTTTCTGCTTATTAGGTTTGGCAGTAGGTTTAGGAGGGATGAAAGTTGTCTTCCCTTTCCTTTT